GATGGTGACAGGTCCTGGGATGGTGACAGGTCCGGTGATGGTGGCAGGTCCTGGGATGGTGACAGGTCCTGGGATGGTGACAGGTCCTGGGATGGTGACAGGTCCTGGGATGGGGACAGGTCCTGGGATGGTGACAGGTCCTGGGATGGGGACAGGTCCTGGGAGTGGGGACAGGTCCTGTGATGGGGACAGGTCCTGGGATGGTGACAGGTCCTGGGGACGGGGACAGGTCCTGTGATGGGGACAGGTCCTGGGGACAGGGACAGGTCCTGGGAGTGGGGACAGGTCCTGGGAATGGGGACAGGTCCTGGGATGGGGACAGGTCCTGCTCCCGTGCTCCTCCACCGTTAATGACACTGCAGGGAAGGACCCTCCTGGATTCCTCCCTCTTTTTCACACCCTGCACGGGGCAGGGACAGAAATGAAGGAAGTGATTTCCTGCTAAGGGAACTCAGCAGGATTTAGGATGTGCAGGCAATCTCCCGAGCACAGATACCTGATCTAAACAGGCTGTCACAAGGCTGGATCCCCCAGGCAAAGAACGGATTGTTGGCCATCCCGAAGTTAAAAAGAAACATGTGGGGAGCAGGGAACTGGATTTTGGGTGGCTCCCCCATTTCTGGGAGTTCCCCTTCCCTTGTCCTTCAGGAGCAGTTGAGAGCCATTCACTGCTCTCCGCTGATTAATGGGCTGCTAATGGCATTACTTATTTCATTATCCAATCTGCAAGAGCAGTCATTATCTAGGGAAAAGGAAAGTCCATTTCTTACTGGCATGAAGCGCTTGGCTGGTGGGGAAAAGTGCAAGGTTCACATTTAGGAAGAGGAGCAAGAAGAAAATGTCTTTGCAGGAAGAAAATTTGCACTGAAAGTTTGTGTGTATATCCAAGTTTGTGTGTTATCTCCCAGTCTGTGTGTATCTCTGACCGTGTGTATCTCCGACTGTGTGTATCTCCTTTCCAAAGGTGGAGCTCAGATGTCAGAGGAGGTGTAGCATATCACAGAGATCAAATCACACAGATAAAAGAGGTGCCCCAAAACACAAGGACTGCATCAAGAGGGTGCCCTCAGAGGGCTGGGATAACAGTGATGGTAGTAATAATAATAATAATAATTAGAATTAATAATAATACACCTTGGAGGTCAGAGCTCAGGTGCTTGAGGTATTGTGCAATTGCAGGTAAAGAAATTGCTGCTTCCAATTCGCCTGGCACAAAAAGGGAGAGCGGGGCCAGCTGGCGAGTGACAGATGGGCAGGGGACAGCGGG